ATACATGTATCACCACATTTTCTTGTCAATGTCTGTATGCAATTAGCCCTCGGGCAGGAATTTGCAATAAACAACTATAAAGTCATCTTGAACCCTTAAGCCAGATCGCTTCAGCGCACTCACGACCTAGGCCGCATGGATGTAAACAGTTCTTTTCTGGTGTTTGCCGAGATTCAAAGGATGAACGTTCAAAAGGAAATGTGGGATAGCAGCAGTTTGATACTGAAATTGGTTGTAGCGTCAATACTCGATCAGAGGGAAGCGAGAGTGGAGAAGTCACTTTCAATCAAAGAATCAATCAATCAATCAATCAATCAATCAATCAATCAATCAATGGGCCATCCATCCATTCATTCATTCATTCATTCATGCTTTCCTTTCCTCTCCTTTATATTTTCTTTCAATCAATCAACCAACCAACCAACCAACCAACCAACCAACCAACCAACCAACCAACCAACCAACCAACCAACCAACCAACCAACCAACCAACCAACCAACCATTCATCCTCGTTACGATACAAACCGTTTCCCGCAGTGGTGGTTGTGACAGTGGACTGAGTTGTAGGCTGAGTTGTACGCTGTGTTGTAGGTTGAGTTGTAGGCCGAATTGTGGTGGTTGTAACAGTACTAGTTGGCTGAGTTGTGGTGTCTGCGCCTGCGCCGCTCCCGTCATCTCTTAAGCTTCCTGAAACGTGACGGTGGAAGTGTCAAACTAGATCCGTGGCGGGTACAAATCTAGTTTCTATCAGGCTATAAGGGAGGCGGCTGGAAAGAGTAGAAATCGGCCAAATAGACGGAGATAACATGCCAGGGGAGTTTGTCCGCTGGGAGACCAACTCCCCTGGCATGTTATCTCTCTATTTGGACGATTTCTACTCTTTCCAGCCGCCTCCCGAAGCCTGGTAGAGGCTAGGTGATACAAACCTTCTCCCGCTGCTGGTTGTAGGATGGCCGGCAATTAAAAGAACGCGTTAAAAATTCTACAAAACGCAGTATCAAAACCCCCTCACGCCCGGAGGCCTGCACAGGAGGCTAGCAGAATACAAAATAATTTGCTTTTAGTTTTAAACTAAAAGCAAATTATATTCAAATACTAATAAACCTAACATGAAAAACTAAGCAAATTATAAAAAGGCAATGCCCAAGAGTTCAAAACCATTACAGAAGATAGTTCTCATACCTGTTTGTGCCGTTGTTGGGACGATACACGCCGAAACAAGTAGAACGACGAGGGCAACAGTCACCGCCTGCGCATGCCCGGGTCTGTACCGCCTCAGACCCGTACCTGAGACTTACAAAGCGGAAACAAGTTGTAAACAATAATAAATAATAATAATAAAAATAATAAACTTGTCCGTAGATGAGTAATGTTAATCTCCAAACAGATCTTTCGGTGGCTACAAAGACAGTATCAAATTGACCGGTCAGTATCAATTTGCCAGGCAGTTACAATTTGCTAACGTGAAAAAGAAAAAGATACCAGGACAAAAAAAGAAGCTAAATCCAGATAAAAACGCCTAAACAACAAGTTAAAAATACTAAAGCGATACCTAATCTCTGCTTGTAGATTAGAGTAATGTGGCAATCATAAGAACAAAAGCTGGTACTTTTGAGACTTGAAATTGAAGATAAAAGAAATCATATTCTACACTCACCACCTCCAAAAACGGAGCCAGCAGCAACGATAACAGAACAACCAGAAAACTGTCCAGACGCAAGTGTGCTAAAGTCTCTGAATTTCTGACATATATCTAATGTAGCGATCACGAGAACAAAAGCTGGTACTTTTGAGACTTAAGATTGTAGATAAAAAATATATTCTACACTCACCACGTCCAACAACGGAGCCAGCAACGCTGAAAACAGGACATCCAGAAACTTGACCGGACGAAAGTGTGTTGAAGTCTCTGTTTTGACACATTTCTGTCCGCGCACAAGTTGACTCGGTCGACATGCCGTGTCTCCAATACAGTAGTCGGCCCCGATCACTGACAACAACCTCCAGTCATTCAAAACAAGAGTACACCGGCATCTTCTCTCCACCACCAGGACTTCTGCATGTAGCTAGAACCTTGCAACTTTGCTGTAAACCAATGATTTAATAGCCAGGAGTGTTACAACCCAGGCTATTGTTTACATTAGAACATTATAGAAAAAAAATCGTGAAGTACATTGACACAACGACGTATCGGTGACGAACACTGTTCGGTGGTGTCTGTCTTGGCCCGCGAATCTTCCCGACTCACTCAAGACAAGAAAGCATCTCGGATGACGTCACGTCCATCCTCGGCCCTCTCCACGCCACTTTTCTCACCTGGAATGTCGTTTATTTTACCCACCTGCGAGGCCCAACATCTAGCTCTGTCCAGGGAGGCCACCAGCCCAATATTTAGCTCTGTCGGACTGAGGGTACTTGTATTCTACGTCAAGGAGAATACGAGAGAAATCCACATCTGTGTGGCTTGGATTTTTCTCACAGGTTTACCGACCGATAGCCTGGTTGCCATCCTCCATATGATACCACTGGCATATTACGGTCAGGATCCTGGATACCATGGTCTGCATTCTACAGTGATAGCCAGTAGAGAGCGACAATAGGGACCCGATGGTAACTACATGGGACGGCAACCAGGCCAGGTTACTCTGGGAACCGAACTACCCGGCCGTTACCTCTAGCTATTTATGGGTGGTAGTGGTACCCAAAATTAGAGACGCCTCACGTAGCTTTTTATTGGATCATTTCAAACACTCCAAGTATGAAATTATTACCCGTGCTAAGAAATAGCTACAAATGTCAGTATCAGACAGATTTCCTCATTCAGAATATTTCTGTTTGCCGCCCTGAAATAGCATTGGGCACCATTAAGATTATCTGTTTGGAGATTAACGTTATCCATGGTAATAGGTTACGTTAGTCGACACATTTTTTTTTATATTCCAACATGTAATCACAAGACGTGGTGACGGGACACTCAAGTTTTTTCAACTCATTTTCAGCTGAATGAAGTGAAGAAAGTCGTCTAAAGTGCCTTTCCCAAGGGCACAAGATTGGTGGCACGTCAGGACTCGAACCCGGGACCTCTTGGTTCCCAGTCGAGCACTCTGCCTCTACGCCACACGACACATTTTCACACACTTACAGTCCGAGCAAACAGATACTATGTCCTAAGCACCTGGCATGGTGGAATGTTCTGTACCATTGCACATAAAAGCCAGCTAAGCTATAGTTGAGCGCCTCTTCTTTCTAATGTATCAAAGAAAGTCCCGACCTGTACAGCTAACGTTCTTATGTTTCAGATACGTTCTAGTTAGCAGGCCTCAAATTCAAAATTAATTTTCTTCCTATTGTCCCAGCACTGTCCCAAAATAAAAATTTTAATTGTCCCGAAGTGAAGATGAACAGTCCCAGCTAGGCGCACTATAATTGCAGAGTAGACAGGAAATTCGGGGGGAATTCTCCGGATCCAAAAGCCAGGACGTGTGCCTGATAAACAAAAGAAGGGCTGACATTATGATGTTGATTATTTTTCTATTGTCCCTGAGTGTATTTTTAGTTGTCCCAGCCTAAATTTTAGTGTTCAGTGGCCACTGGACCACCTTTAATTTTGAGCTCTGAGTTCCGAATGTACGAGAAATGTAGAGAAATATGATAATGTCCAATGATTTATAAATAACCTTGATTGTTCATGGAGGTAAAAAAACAAAAGATATAAAACTATTTTGTACTATGGTCTTTATTATTCTCAAGTTACAAAAAGAGATCCAGATAAAGCTTGTACAATGTAAAAGTTGAAAAACGTCTTCACATTTTCATCGCAGTTTGTTCTGTGCCACGTATCAAGTTACATGCACATCATACTACATGTACTCTCAGTTGTCATCCAAAAACAAATGAATTGAGCATTTTTTGTACATGTGTACTTAGTCCAGGAGCTTTTTTTTCACCCTGTCACTTCATGTTTTTCATGAAAAAATCCAAGAACCAGAAATTAAATTGGTGTGGCCTAACAGCGTATAAAACTTTTAAGCATTTCCTTCTTCTATTTTTTGACACTTCTATGATACTTCAGGAATCAAAAGTTCAAAATTAAACAAAAGTTGCAAGGTCATATCGAGATCAAGTCATACAATACCCTGTCTTCAGGTATGATGTGCACTACTATACTGCATGTGAGGCTTACATATCTGCCATCATTTCCAAACTCTGTCTCAAATATGAACAATATTCTTCACACATCATATACTTCAAAACTAACATCATAGTTCATAAAGAAGACTTTAATTGTCATGCAATGATTCTTCGTGTTTTACTTTTTGCTTTAACGTTTGAAAGCAGCTACAATATTTAATGTAATGTCATCAGCAAAAAGTATTTCGAGCCCTGGTTCTATGTTCAACACTGTGTGCGATACATAATTCCAAAGTAGGTATGCTATAAAAACACAGCTACTGTTCCATTCTGTTTCATTCATAAGGCACCCTTAAACTACAAGCAGATCTATCTCCTCTCACAAAGTCGTACATTGTACCAGTGTTCTAGCCTGCTTGAATTTTTTTCTGTCATCTCAATTTTGTTTGACGTAATATTGAGTGCTGAAGGTATAAAAATTTGATCCTCTGAAATGCTATTTCCAGCCTTTTTAGAAAGAAATCTTGCTGGTAGCTATACTTAATGACATCACATTCTATATCTTGATACGCTGATTTTTATCAAAGATGACGGATTGGACAAAAGTTATGTCTAACATGAGCAGCAAAATTCCATAAGGCCTAGGAAAAAATATTGTGTTTCCTGTTTCAGTCCTGAAAAAATTAGGGTTGGTTGGTAGAGATCATCTTTTTTTTCTTAGACTATGTCAATGTTAGAAAACCAATTGTACAACGTTTTATCACTCCGGTGTCAGATCATGGAGCTAGAAAAGGCTGATCAGCTCGAAAATAATTTATGTCCCTTGCAGGGTTCCACCACCCAAAAAAGTCTAGGGTCAGCAGGTTTTTCTAGGGTCGGTCGGGAAACAGGAAACACAACATTTTTTTTTCTAGGCCTAAAAGATGGGTGCTAGCTAGAACACTGCATTGTACTTGTACATCACTCTCACATGCAATACAAACATGTTTCTTCTACATCAGAATACAAAAAAACAAGCCTTTCCAGCCTATGTTCGAACTTTCTTCTTATCATCGAACAAGTGCCTAACGGTGTAGACTTGTAGAAGAGCGGTGACTATCATGATGATGAGTTGTATGACAGACCAGAAGTTGACTCTCTCAAAGTTATGTTCCTGTGTGCTCCTGTCCTTCGACTCAAACACTCGCAGGACGTTCTGGATCTGTCTGCTTTTGGAGAGGTGCTCCTTCACACGATCCATGGAGTCCTGGAGATAAACAAAACAACAACAGTAAAAGTGATGCTGTAAAAGCAAAAAATTACCATATTTTACCCCCAGAAAAGTAGACTCTGCCGTGACCCACATAACTTTTGTTTTGCATGCAGTGATGCCATCTTGAAAAAGACGTAAACACGCTCTGGCCGTTATTTTTCCTGGCTGAATCGTAGGGAAAGCAAAAACTGGGGCTGTATTTTCACGTATCAAGAACTCAAAACATTAATACACTTCGTGCACATGTTTTGACATAATCTCCAAGCAGATCCTAGGGTGGCAAAAAACAGTATCAAATTGGCCATGCAGTATCCATTAGCCACCCAAGAACCTTCTCTGGCTAATGGATACTGCCTGGCCAATTTGATACTGTCTTTTGCCACCCTAGGATCTGCTTAGAGATTAGTTTTGAGACTTTTTTTCAAAAGCTACAGTAATCTTTGCCTTGTTGAGAGGTGTAGAAATGGCCCCCTAGCAGCCTTTGCAAGAATCCTAAAGGCAGCTGGTCAACAAGGCAGCTACCCTGAACAACTGTAAGAAACAGGAGGAGCCAGTAAAAACCCCTCTGGTCCCGGGCCGGGGTTCGAACCCACGACCTCCCTTGCACCAGAGCTTCATAACCAGATGCTCTAACCGCTCGGCTGAAAGGTCTAGACCCGTGGGCCGGGTCAGTTGGTAGCGCCTATAAACCCCCCAGTGTTACACTAGAACCCACTGAATAAAAAATTACCTTCATATCTTCCAGTTTGATATCCAGCTCTTCCTCCGGACTGACAAAGTCCATCCAGTCATCATCCTCGTTCTCTGTGTCAGCGTCCAGCAGAACGTCAAAAAAGATCATCTTCTCTGAGATTCTGCTGAAGGTGTTGTCGAAACAGAACATGTAGTCCCCATCCTCCTTAGCATCAATACTGGGGAGAGAAGAAGTACAACTTCAGTACATGGAGTAACATACAAATACATGGAGCAACATACAAATACATGGAGTAACATACAAATACATGGAGTAACATACAAATAACTGCTTATTAGTGAACCCTTTTAATAATTCTCAAATATTCTATTCATGTGAATCATATTTTCATTCATATGGAGTACTTTCTTCTGACCAGCAGTCGGTAACTTTGATACTTTTTTGTCTTCAGGCAATGTTGATGTTCTGATAAAAATGCACTGATTACCCTACAGTAAACATATGTACAGTTCACGGTATATGCCACAAACAGGATGTCCTGATAAAAGGTCCAGAACCTGTACTAGTAGATGAGTCAGTTGGTAGCACTCTCACTGTTACACTTTCTTTCTACAGTGGACGGAAATAGCCTGGTTACCAAACCTATTATTATATAATAGCTCCTAAGTCCTACATCATCTCTGCAAATGCAGGACTCAGGAGCTATAATACTACATGTAATAGGTTTGGTAACCAGGCTAGGATGGAAATCCTAACTAGTACTATTCCTGGTGAAGAATCTGCTCACCTGTGAATTCCCTCTGACTTCCGCAGTTCTGTCACAAGAGGAACCCCCTTTGGTGACCTCAGCACAAAGGTCACATCCAGGTCACCTCCATCAATTACCTGCAAATTAACAATTATTTATGAAATAAAGACTAAACGTTCCTTCCAACACTGTCCAGAATGAATTGGGACTCACTCCAAATTTTTGGCTGACTGCTTCAACCTCTTGGAACATGACGTAAGAGACACGTGACCATAGTAGCGGATCATACGTGCCAGATCTTATGTTTTATGAAACCAGGTGAAATTATTTTCGAAAATGATGTGAAATTCCAAACATACTAGTACCTGAATGCAAATTTTATGTAACAAGTATAAAGTATCAGGTGCTAGGTGAAAATATATATATATATGAAATACGTGTCTTAACACTCCAAAATCCCAATGGATATTAGGGTGGTGGCTGGCCATGGGTATCTGAAAAATTCTAATTATTCACCAGACAGGGGCCTTACTAACTGTACGCGGTGTCAAGGTATCAAGTACAGAGGGACCACCCCCCTCCCCCTTTGGCAAATAGCAAGTTGTCATCTTCAAACAATTTAATTATTCAACATTTGCATGCCTCCCCTAGATTAGAGTACAAGTACATCCACGACTGTACAAAATGTTCAGGATGACAAAATTACTACCGTTCTTATAACAAAAAGGAAGTGACGGAACTGTGATTTTAATAAATTATTATCACAACATGATCATAAGGTTACGGAACATACCTGGTATTCAACTTCAAAATTCGTCTCTTTCTTGACTTCTTGATAGAAGCATTCCCTCTGTCCCGGTGGTAAAGTAAAGGTGTAGTCATAATCGGTCGAAGAGACGACGCCAGGTAGTAGAAAAACGAAGAGAAGGAGAAGGAAGTGGCCCAGACGACATGCCCTGTTCTTCCAAGGTTCCGCCATGTTGTTCTGTCAACTGTGACCAAAAGTCACGCTACAAAAGCGAACTCTAGCGGATTCAGGCTGAAGTACAGCGACATTTCTACCTTTTTTAATGCTAAATACTGTCTTTATTTGCAATAAAGAAAACAACTTACCTTTTCTTTTTCGCTTATCAACGTGTTGAATAACAAAAAAAACTTTTATTCCCTTTCAAAAAGGCATATCATGACGACTTTCCAGAGACAGACTAACAGCGCCTCCCGGCGTCCATTGTTGGAACTGCAGGCTACGTCACGAGAACACCTTGTTACAAAACAAAGATGGCGGCTGTCCTGCCGGTTGAGGTATGTTTTTCTTGGTTTTCCTGCGTCATTTGTAATGCCTGGGCTGTCAGAATCAAACTAATACCTGAATAGAATTGTTAAATGATTAATAGTGTTCTTTGAGTGTTAGTGTCACGATCCCTAGTGAAGAGGATATTTGTAAAACGGTTGTTACAAAAAGTAAAGTTTACCTGTGTGTTGACCTCGAAAACTCAGGAGGGCAAAGTACAGTACAACATATAACTATGACTAAGCTAGATTTTTAACCTCCTTGCCATGAGTTAGTAATTAACCAACAAAATTTACGTCAAGAAAAATTTATGGAGGTACTGTTTTTGGTCTGTCTGTGTGTGTGTGTGTTACACTTACAGTGTGTGTGTGTCTGTATATTTGTGGTCAACATAACTTCAGAACTCCAAGGAGCCAGAAATTATGGATTGGTGGTTGGCATCGGGGAGAATTCAGGAAGCTTAGGATTGAAATCTGACATCTCTATTTTGTCTTCTTGCCCATTTTGTAGGTGATCGCCCACGTCATGCGGTTCCTGAGTGTTGGGGACAGGAAGGCGGCAGCTCTGGTAAACAGACAATGGTATGAGGCATCTCTCGACCCTGCTTTACAAACGAACACCGTCTTCCACCTCCTCACCCCCTTCACCACCGGGTCAACCGTCCAGAGCTTTGGACTGAGAAAAAGTCCCCATCTCATCTTAAATGACATGGACGGTTCGTCGAAATCGAAGGAGGTCGTCCAGAAAGCTTGCCAACACCTTGGGCAGCATCTACAGAGCCTTTCCTTGAAGGGGTCGGATATAACGGAAGCAACGTTCATGGTCATCGTTCCTCACTGCTGCAATCTACGAAAACTGGACCTCAGTTCCTGCAACAGTCTGTTCCTGTCTGGAAACTTGCTCCGGAAAGCGGAAGATTTGAAATCGGCGGAAAAATCGTTGGTGAATGTCCGGGAGCTAAACTTGGCGTCGCTACGACACCTCTCGGATTGCGTGTTCAACAGACTTGTCGGGGTGATGCCGAACGTTGAGAAACTGTCGTTGTCTGGATGCACTGTCTCGTACGAGTTCAACCCGTACGCCAAAGGGTCGCAAACGCGAGCGTCGACCTCCGTCCTCACCTTCATTAACATCAAAGCATTCCTAGAACAGCAAGGGAAGAAACTGGCGAGCTTGGATTTGAGCAAAACCGCACTTCCGGGCAGTTCACTTCGAGAGCTAGCCACGGTACCCGGGCTCGCGATACGGGAACTGAACATCGCGGGAAACAGGGACCTAACCGACGATGACATCTTACGCTTAGTGAAGCGGCAGACGAGTTTGACTTCTCTGAATGTTTCCATGTGTGGGGAGCTCACATCTGAGACTGTGCTGCACATTCAGACATACGTTCCACAAATGCAGTATCTGAACTTTTCTAAGTGCAGACGTATGCGAGACAGCGCCGCTTCCAAACTGTACACCCTGCCGGGTCTGCGATACATCAACTTTGCAGAATGCCCACAGATTTCCTCCAAAGCGCTCATCGCCGGCCTATCTTCGAAACCCATGCCGTACCTCACGTCTGTCTGTCTCGCCCACTGTACGCTCGTACGCGATGAGTTTGTCGAAGCTCTCGGCAAGTCCGTGCCGCATCTCCAAGAGCTTGATTTAACCTCATGCCTTGCGATAACAGATCGTAGCGTGCACGCCATTGCCGCGTTCTTACCGGAACTGAAACGGCTAAGTCTAGCGTGGTGCAAGAATGTCACGGACTATGGAATTCTTGGTCTGGAGAAGCCTGAGGAGGTAGGTGATGAGGGGCGTCTGTGTGAGTTGACTGGCGGGAGGTTTTCTCGCAACTTTGGCACCATTGGCTTCTTCAGCCCTCCCTCTGCTGCTGAGGTGTCTGTGTGTAAGGTAACTTGTAGTTTCGTTCTCTTTCATTTTCATTTGATTTTCATTTTCTTTCAGTTTCTAAATTTTCAGATCTTCTTTTATTAATATGCCTGAGTGCAAAGCTAGAGTGTAGTGTGCCTAATACCTGTGCCAGGGACCTGTGCTTAAAAGCTCTTCTCATGTCCAGAACCAGACTGTCTGTCACCATGGTAACTTGTGTTAAGTTACATCATGTTGCAATTTTATAGCAGGAAGGATTTAGACTCCTGTCTGACCATATATATGAATGTGTTTGAATAAGAATTAACGCGCGCATATAACAGAGCACACCATTATGTGAACATAAACATTATGCAGTTGCTTTGCAAATGTTACCTTTCTAGTTTACTTTATTTCTTTATTATATCAGATAACCCAGGAAGAAGCCCTGGCCGTGTTAGCCCAGCAGGATGCTGGGATGCCGTCTGGGCTGCAGCGCCTGGCAGGTCTGCGTGTGCTGGACCTCAGCACCTGCCAGCAGCTGAGCGACCTCGGAATCACCTGCGCTATCAGGTGACTACACAACCTCCAGAATTCTTATATGTACTCTTACTATGTCCTATAAGTATACTAGTGATAGAAGTAGGTAATTATGTTCACAGAAGGAAAACATTTTTTTTGCTATGTTTCCTCTTTTTGCTCTGTTTCTTCTTCTTCTCCAACCCATTAAGGTCAACGACCTGAACCAAACTGTCTGTTACCATGGTAACTAGTGCTGGGTTACATCATGTTGCAATTCTATAGCAGGGGGGATTTAGACTCCTCTTACCATATATATGACAGTTAAATGTTTTACTCCAGTAAGAATTAACAGAGCAGACCATATGCGAAGGTAAACATAATGCATCTGCTTTGCAAATGTTACCTTTCTATATAGCTAGTTGATAATGTTTTCTCTCCCTACAGGTTCAGGGAGCTGGTGTGCTTGAGACTGAACATGTGCACAGGGCTGACTGATCGCAGTCTGGTTTCCATAGCAACCAATGTGCCTAGCCTGGAGGAGCTGTCCATCAGCCAATGTCACCAGGTAATGTTATAGAAACTAAGGCCTAGGAAAATTAATGTTGTGTTCTAGTGACTTAGTACTGGTTGAATATAACAACAAATAAAGTTTAAAATTCTTGTGTTTTCTAATAAACAGGGAATACATGGTTTATAATGTTACTCTCTACAGCAGTAACATTATACTGTCTATAGAAATGGAGATCTGTACAACTATTGCTCAAAATAATTTGACAGATGTTGTAGTATATATATATATATATATATATATATATAT